CTTTACATATATTGCATTGTAGATTGCGTTTGGATGTTAATATTAACTTTGAATACGAATAAATTTTCAAACTTATTTTCTGTTTGTAATTTCGTTTGTGTAACGAAATAGCAAAAATAATACATATTATACTATTAGATGAAATACGACAATATAAAATTTTTCGCTTCTACTATGTCATCATTCATAAATAAGAAACATTTTTTTCATGGAATTGAAGAATAGAGACAAAATATATTTTAGAATTTCAATATTACGGAAGTGTCATAAAGTCTGAGAATACACTAATTTTATTAATATTTTCATTATTTTATTTAAGATAATAAACTAGCAATTTGATGAAAATATTACACATTACCAGAATCCTTGTAAACATATTTATCAAACATATTCAGCAGATATAATAGTTAAGATAGTTTTTGATAGTATAATTAATCGAAATTTATATATTTATAAATATGATATTTTTGCATGTAAGTTTTGAAAAAGTGTATAAGTATTATACTATTAATATATAAATATCATATATGCAATATCCAAGTCTTACCAAACATACGTTTATTTTTTTATACGTTTATTTTATATATAAATAAAATGATATCATATATAGCTTTTCACGCTAGTAGATAATTGAAGTCCATGATATTTGACATGAAGCCATAAAATGCTAATTTCACGTCTTAAGAATAAAAAAAAATCATGTTTTATTGTTACAAAATTTCTTCATTATTGAAATGTATATGTTTCTAATTAACTTAAACGAAGTCGTCAGTCAGAGGCGCCAATTGTCTTGTTTTATCTTCATAAGAATATCATAAAAAAATATAAAGAATTCAATAAATTTTATTTGCAGTTTGTTTTCATGGTTATTGAAACATCTTGTAAGGTTTTTCAAATAGTAGTTACATTTTTGTGTCGAACATGAGCGAATATTTAGTTTGGTAGTTTGGTAAAAACAAAAAAAATATTATTTTATAAGTAGGGGAGTTAGGGGCTTGTTGTAACAGCGAAAATAAAATTTTTCATATAACTTTACGTTTCAGAGGTTTCTAAACATTTTGGCATACTTTATAATTAGATAAAATGGATGTATATGTGTGTGTGTATATGTGAGCGGATACAAATTTTTGTCGACGATTTCGCGAACACGGATCAACCGATTTGAATAATTCAAAAAACATTCGATTCATATTTATAAAGAGACGTCCTGATTAGTTTTTGGTAAAGGCAGGTCTAGCCGTTTCAGAGATACGGGGTAAAAAGTGCAAAAATGGTATTTTAATTTTTGAGACAACGGAGCGTCCGATTTAAATAATTCAAAAAACATTTTACTTGTATTGACAAAATGAACAACTGCTAAAACTTTTGTAAAGGCAGATCCAGTGACTCAGGAGATCCAATAAAAAAAGTAAAAAATAATGTCATTTGACGGTCAAAAATGAACATTAGACTTATGTGCATTGTGTTATCAGATATTTTATAAAAATTTTAATAACAAGTACAAATTTTGTGTACATTTATAAGAGTTATACGTATATCAATGTTTCTAACACTTACATGTTAGAAGACTACGCGGCGCTTACGCGCTTTGATATTTCGAATTCACATCAGTTATGCAGCGCGATTGCTTAAAAAAATGTTAAAAATTTTCAAAAAATTCATAATACAAATTTCAAAATTTCATTCATAATAACAAAAATTTCTAAATTTCTTAGAAATCTATTTTTTCAAAGTTTGCAAATTATTTAATTTTTTTTAACAATTTAGTTTTTGCTACGGGAAGTTCCAGCAATTTGCCTTAAGACACGATTCCATGCACCACGTTAGTTATCAAAGGTATATTAGTGGTATATCACGGTTATTAACTTCCCGTAGGGCAAGTTATAGTAATCGCAAAAAAATCGAAAATGAAAATTTTTATATATCTTTACGTTTCAGAGGTTTCTGAATATTTTGGCATACCTTAGAAAAAATGGATGTATGTGTGTGTGTGTGTGTGTGTGTGTGTGTGTGTGTGTGTGTGTGTATGTATGTGCGAATACAAATTTTCGTCGACGATTTCGGGAACACGGATCAACCGATTTGAATAATTCAAAAAACATTCGATTTGTACTGATAAGGAGACGTGCTGATTAGTTTTTGGCGAAGGCAGGTTTAGCCGTTCCGAAGATACGGGGCAAAAAGTGCCAAAAACGGTACCTCCGTTTTTAAGAGAACGGAGCGTCCGATTTGAATAATTCAAAAAACATTTTGCTTGTATTGTATGGGTTCCGTACCAATGCTTATGCGTTAGACGGCGGCTCGGCACTTGCGAGCTTTGACATTTCGTCTCTATGCAGTTCAAGCAGTGCGATTGCTTTGAAAAAAAGTTCAGAATTTCCAAAATATGTCAAAATGAAGAAAACATTTTTTTTCAAAAATTTTTTGTGTTTTCAAAAAAAAATTTTTTTTTCTCAAAAAAAAATTTTTTTTTTCGAATAAAATTTTTTTTTTCCAAAGAAAGTTATTTTTTTGTCAAATTTATAGTTTCTCAAAATCTATTTTTTTTAAGTAAATTTTTTTCAAAAATGTTAATCGTTTTTAAAAAAATAATAATTTTTGGTACGGGAAGTTCTAGCATTTGCCTTAAGGCACGATGCCCTAATTGCCTTAAGACAGAATTCCACTTACAGCTAGTTTACTTTTAGGTGCCACTACATAATAAGTCGTTTATAAAATATTTATATCTTCTTAATGAAAATATTAAATTGCTTACTTGTTTGATTAGTACTAAATGTATATATTATTAGTTTACTAAATGAAATATAATTAAAAGTTGATCAATTAAAATATAAGTAATGAATATCGCTGGGTCGGATCTAATTCATCGGACTTTTGATTCCTACAATTTTTGATCCATTAATTGAAGCCAAATAAAAAGTAAATAACTGGTAATCAATAAATAAATATTCATCTGAATTATCACTAAGGTGTTAATGTAGATAGGTCATGTGACAGCATTCTTTTTAATAGGTCAGGATTGTGGATGATGTAATATATTTTATGCAATATATTTGAGAAGTACTCATATTGCGATTGTCATGAATTTTGTCAGTTTTAAGGTCCATTATTATACTCAATGTTATATTAACAGACTTCTCTTGAAGTATCTTGACAAATATTACTTTGAAGCGCTCAAAGTCAGCATTAAATTACTTGCTAATGAATTGTGTTCATTATTTGATTAAACGGCTATGAAAGGCTAATCAATTGATGTTTAATTATCACGTTAACACATTAATATATATTTGGAATGTTTTGTCAATCGTGAATTGAAAATATGAAGTTTATACATAATTACTAGGTAGGCTGTATAGTAGGGTATATTACATCAAGGTTCTATCAAAAATATATCGAATTCAGGCTTATTATCATTATTATTTTTTTTTTTAATTCCAATATTTGTTACAACTACTAAATAATATAACATCTAGTAATATAAGTGAATAGTAACATAAATATAAATAAAATATAGTACAAAATAAAGGATAGTAACTCAGGTTTACGAAAAACGAAAATTTGCTTTTTTTGATATTTATTCAACCATATGTGGTAGAGCGGGGCGTAAGGATTTAATTTTACTTTAAGCAATCATATTGTGAAAACTAAACCATTTGTATCTCAACAAAATACATATCAAACAAACAACTATCTGGCTATGTTCATTAAAACTCCCAGCTAATTCATCATTGTAGAAATGTGTTTTTTTTTGCTGTTTTCCAAATTTTGTCTTTTCAACCCGATAGACGGGTAAAATGGGACGCCAGGGGGAAAGAGGTCAAATGTCTTATTTTTAATTTTAAAGGGATTTATCGAAAGACTAGCAACATTATTCAAGCAATGGTAAATATAAATTTCATAGGTACCTACTTTTTTATAAGGACAACACAGTATATAACCGTGATAATTCGTCAGATATATCAGCAGAGTTGGAATAACTATTTATTTAATTTATCTCTTGTGAAATTGCTTTTTTTTTAACTTAATTTACTTCAATTCACTATTTTATTGTTTACACATTTGCCAGGGTAATGGTTCAGTTGGTCTTTTTTACCCCATAGAGGTTATATAAAAAGAACTATAGGATCTAACTTAAAATTAACAATACATCTTATAAAATAATTAAATAACGTATACTTAAAAAATAAAATATTTTATTTTTATTTAATAACTTAAAAAACTATCAACGAAATAAAATACCTGTTGTGGATTTTTAAACATTTTTGTTTATCTCTCTTTAAGAATCAAGGTGGTTGATGGTTATACATATTTTTCCTCTACTTTTAATATTATTAATCAAAAATTCTGAACTTTACTTGTTTTTGAAATATAGGTGGTGGACCTTTTTACTCGTGGACCTTATAATATAATATATATATATATATATATATATATATATATATATATATATAAGTACACTCAGGGGGCGTTCATTAATCACGTGTTCGATTACCTCACCTTCCCTTTGGTGATACGTGGTGATATTCAAAATTACCCCCATTTCCCACCAAACATCACGTGTATTTTTAGTTACGAGATTTTTTTTTTTTAAATACTTGGATTTTTTTAAATGCATTAGGTAAAAAATAAATACACGTAATACCTCCCTCTCCCACGTGATCTTTTGTGATTTTTTTTTGTCAAAACCATAAAAACCTCACGTGATTAATGGGCGCTCCTTTATATAAATATTGTTTTTTAATATTTTTCTGATTTATTTGATTCAGGGGTTTGGGATATTCCCTTCTTGGAAAACTTGCAATCCAAAAACTTCCCTAATTCAAACACAACCAAAATCCAATCGCGTGATTCTCGTCAAAAAAATTAATTGAAAGTACGTCGAACTATAGCAGTTCACCAAAACGTAGAACGCAATAAATGAAAAATTGAACAAATAATTTTCCGAGAAGAAAATGTATCACCTATTATTGATAATTAATTTATAAATTTCCTCTTTCCAGAATGCTTAGCAGAAACATTTAACTTGTGCTGTAGTCTAGGAGAGAAATGGGCGGACACTGGAAAGGCATGTAAATCTTTCCCACCTCCTGCTAAAGGTGTCCCACTGGAGCAGCAGCCTGTTTGCTTGGCCACTGTTGAGATCTGCTGCTCCAGGCGGAGAAGAGCGGCCCAATGCGAAGCAGGACAAAAGGCAGCTAAACAGAATAAGGAATGTTATGTACCTGGTGTTGCTGATGACTTCTATAAGGTAGATTACTAATTTTGTGCTATTGAGTTTATAATGCTCCATCATGGTATTGGTTAGAGATTTGTACTTTTAATCAGAAATTGCAATTTTGATACCCGTCTCGGGCAGCATGTAGTGACATCGGTTTTTAGATGAAAATATAGATAGTAATATGTTTGGAAGTGAAAACTAGTGATGTATGGCATCGCGCCTTAAGGCAATTTGCTGAAACTTCCTTTACCAAAAAATATTTTTTGATTAGATAAAGATATTTTTTTTAACTTTGAAAAAATAGATTTTTGAGAAATTTTAAATTTTTGAAAAGAAAGACTTTTTTGGTAAAAAGACATTTAAAAAAATTTTTGTTTTTTATTTTATTTTAGAAATTTTGAACTTTTTTCAAAGCATCGCACTGATTTAGCTGCATAGAGACAAAATATCGAAGCGCGTAAGCGTCGCGTCGCCGTCTAACTGACAAACGATGTCACGGAACTCATAGAAATGTTAACAAAATTGATACATATTATTAAATATTTCATAAAATATCTGATAATTTGATATGCATATGTTTAATGATCACTTTTGACCGCCAAATGGCATGTTTTTCACTTTTTTTAAAGATCTTCGAAACCGCTAGACCTGCCTTCTTAAATTTAATCTATTCTTTATCTAATCAATACAA